CAAGGATTTCTGCTCTAAGGCTATGCTTTTTCTGACATAGCTCCCTGTATGATGATAGTCCACATTTGCACAGATCTTTGAAATGAGTGTTTTGATTTCATACTCTGAAGAAAGTTCAAATGGTTTTCGTTTGTTTTCTCTTGTGACTGCCATGCAAATACTAACATATATGGAAACTGATACCCTCTTTGAACTTAGCAAGACTGAGAAAGCACAACACTAAATGACACATTTAGGCCGTACCAATTTTCTTTTTACAGCTCCCATCCCTGACACCCTGAGAGCCAACCCTTGTTATTTTGTGTGAGTAGAAAAGAGAGTTTTTGCCCACCACTCTCCCCAAGAGTACCTATTAAAAAGAAAATAATATGTTGCCGTTGACCATGCTTAAGTTTTGCTTTGTTTTGCCGAACACAATTTCTCATTGCCCTTTCCATAAAAGGGAAGAATAGAGAGAAATGAAAGAAACTATCAAAAGTAAATTACATTTTTAACATATAAAAGGAAATATGAATTTTAAATATAGGGTAATTACTGTCGAGAGGTATTACTGAAATAAAAGGGATTTAAGTTTGCTACTCCTGTTTTAGAAAGCTAGACAACCAATAGATTTCTGTGACTAGATACAATATTTTAATTTCTTTATAGCAATGGAGAAACAAAGAGGATACATGCACGCAAATAGGAAGGTATGAGGAAACTCCTATAAGTAGCTATTATAGACAGATTCAAAAGCACAAGTAATATCTATAATATTAACCAAATATTAATTCACTGTTCAGAAAGTGAGCATGCATGGCATAAAACAGTAAGTTTAAGCAAGCATAAGTTACAGAATACAATATGCAGTGGTTACGGAAGTGAGCCTGTGGCAGGTTTGGAATTTCATGTTTAAAGACATGGGCTCGAGATCCAGAAGGTTCAAATCCTGGTTCTATCACTTAGCAGTTGAGTGATGATAACATGCTTAATTTTTAGTACAGAAGAAGTATTGATTTCTTGATTCTATCAACAGTTAAGATTAGTAAAATTACAGCATTATATAAAAAGTAGAATTCTTATCTTGATTGCTTATTTTCAATAGTACTTTTAAACTAAATCTCATCAACCACAAAATGTCCACAAGACATAAAGTAATTTCTGCCAACCAGTAGCAAGTAAGCTGAGATTATAAACTGGAATAACATAAGTGCAACACTGTGGGCAAGTTCATGGTAAAAGCCAAACTAACCTGGTTCCATGAAAGGCTAAGCACATTTGGAAGACAATTCAATTCTTCCAGTACATACTGAGTATTCCATCCTATTCTACAAGACTGAGTCACCACTGCCTCAATGTTATCCTATTACTCCTTATCCTGAGATGTAGATTAAACATTGTCTTCAGCAGCTAACTGTAAATATAAACCCTACTTCTCAGGACACGTGACTTTTCAACATACTTAATAAGGGGCATGTCTATACTGGCCAAGTAAAAATCTACCTTCAGAAATCAAGTCCTTTTGGTGTCCACAAGTGTTGATCAATGCATGTGTGTTCCACTGGCAAGTTGACTTATGTTAAGTCTAAGTAGCACATCTTATCCACCCTGTTTGAACTGTACATCCAAATCTAATCTAGGGCATTCTTCACAGAATTAGAACAAAAAATTTCACAACTTGTATGGAAACACAAAAGATCCCAAATAGCCAAAGCAATCTTGAGAAAGAAAAACAGAGCTGGAGGAATCAAGCTCCTGGACTTCAGACTATACTACAAAGCTACAGTAATCAAGACAGTGTGGTACTGGCACAAAAACAGAAATATACATCAATGGTACAGGATAGAAAGCCCAGAGACAAACCCACACACATGTGGTCACCTAATTTATGGCAAAGGAGGCAAGAACATACAATGGAGAAAAGACAGCCTCTTCAATAAGTGGTGCTAGGAAAACTAGACAGTTACATGTAAAAAATGAAATTAGAACACTCCTTAACACCATACACAAAAATAAGCTCCAAATGGATTACATACCTAAATGTAAGACTGGACACTATAAAACATAGGAAAAACACTCTTTGATATAAACCACAGCAAGTTCTTTTTTGACCCACCTCCTAGAGTAATGAAAATAAAAACAAAAAATGAACAAATGGGACCTAATGAAACTTAAAAGCTTTTGCACAGCAAAGGAAACCATAAACAAGACGAAAAGACAACCCTCAGAGTGGGAGAAACTATTTGCAAATGAAGCAACTGACAAAGGATTAATCTCCAAAATATATAAACAGCTCAGGGAGCTCAATATCAAAAAAACTAACAACACAATTAAAAAATGGGCAGAAGACCTAAATAGACATTTCACCAAAGAAGACATACAGATGGCCAAGAGGCATGTGAAAAGATGCTCAATATCACTATTAGAGAAATGCAAATCAAAACTACCATGAGGTATCACCTCAAACTGGTCAAAATGGCCATTATCAAAACATCTAGAAACAATAAATGCTGGAGAGAGTGTGGTGAAAAGGGAACCCTCCTGCACTGTTGATGGGAATGTAAATTGATACAGCCACTATGGAGAACAGTATGGAGGTTCCTTAAAAAACTAAAAATAGAACTACCATATGACCCAGCAATCCCACCATTGGGTATATACCCTGAGAAAACCATAATTCAAAAAGAGACATGTACCACAATGTCCACAGTAGCACTATTTACAATAGCCAGGACATGGAAGCAACCTAAATGTCCATCAACAGATGAATGGATAAAGAAGATGTGGCACATATATGCAATGGAATATTACTCAGCCATAAAAAGAAACGAAATTGAGTTATTTGTAGTGAGGTGGATGGACCTAGACTCTGTCATACAGAGTGAAGTCAGAAAGAGAAAAACAAATACTGTATGCTAATGCATATATATGGAGTTAAAAAAAAATGGTACTGATGAACCTACTGTCAGGGGCAGGAATAAAGATACAGACACAGAGAATAGACTTGAGGACACGAGAGGTGGGGTGGGAAGCTGGGGCGAAGTGAGAGTAGCATCGACATATATATACACTACCAAATGTAAGACAGATAGCTAGTGGGAAGCAGCCCCATAGCACAGGGAGATCAGCTCAGTGCTTTGTGATGACCTAGAGACATGGGATAGGGAGGGTGGGAGGGAGGCTCAAGAGGGAGGGGATATGGGGATATATGTATGCATATGGCTGATTCACTTTGCTGTACAACAGAAACTAACACAGTATTGTGAAGCAATTATACTCCAGTAAAGATGTATAAAAAATAAATTAAAAAAAACAAAGCTAATCTAGGTAGGAATATATACTTTGTATTATAAAATAAGATGTCTCCAAAATTTAAAGATACACTAAAATTTCCACAAATTCGTATTTTTTTTTACCTTCAACTGCTAACTTTACAAATTTTCCTAATATAAACACGAATGTACAGAAGTGTTTTTAAATGTGAAATCACATTTAAAAGCAAGAAAATGCAATATCCTGAGCAATCATAAAACAGAGAAACCAATAAAGAATGAAATTCTGGGTCAATAAACACCTTGAGCGAATATCGAATGAACACTGACTGCTTGACCTCAATTCTCAAAAGAATACAGTAACACACTAACGCTGCAGAAAGCTATCCAAACACCCTCGTTAGAACACACCATCTTTGTTGTCTGTTTCTGGAATTATGTGTGTTAAGAATAACTTCCAATTATACTCTCCTAGTATTCAAATTGACTTTGAATCAAATCACTGTTCTAAGCTCTATATAAACCATGTTAAGTCTTTCTAAGTCAATATTCATTTATAGCCAAACACACACATGAAATCACACTCAGTGCTGTACCCTAATGAAATGGGAACAACTCCCACAAGTTTTCCTTACGTAGATTTTAAGTTGGCAAGCAGGGTCTGTACTTGGCAAGGAAATGTTTCATTTCTGTGGGAAGTTCATTCGGTTTCCATCTTGTCAGGGTTTCGTTTTCCATGACCGCACACAGGGAAGGTCAGCAGTGGGCACAAAGGAAAGCACACATGCACGGGATGCTCAGGTGGACAGAGATACAGCCTGCTTCTGAGAAAGCTGGGTGCCCCGCCCAGGGAGGCAGGACAGGGGACAGGAGGAAAAGTCAGATGATATGTAACCTCCCTCAGCTGAGCCTTCCCCAGTGGAGAGGTCTACATGCACCCACACACACATATCCATGAATGAATGGCAACCTGGTATGTTTTTAAAGTATTTACGTTTTACATGTAAGTTTTAATAACTTCTCACTCTCAAACAGGCCCAGGCTCAATCCACACTACTAGCAATAAGCTTTATACAAAATATAAAGAATATTGAATTTGATATGAAACAACACAAATGAATATCTCCGTAAGTTATACCACAGTTCTTACTAGAAGTGAAAATGGTTAGATTTTAGGATATTTAATTAGGTACTTCCCCCAAATCAACAGCCTACTTTACTGGGATGTTTGGGGATTATTTTGGATAGTACCAATTAATTCAGATTCAAGATGAAGTATGAGAAGTCAAAATATGAAACTGCTCTTGAAAATGGCAATTTTCATCCTATAACATTGTACAGCGTCTTAGGGAAACAGGTTTTTTGTTTTTGTTTTTAAGTTTGAAATGACAATCTCAAAGAGAATATGTCAACAGAAATCCTTTGAATAGGATGGATGCACATCATTTTATTTTTCCTTAAAGATATTACACCCTGTGAGTATTCTGCTATTTTAACAAGGCTTAGGCTCTAAGAATATGAATACTGACAAGCAACTAGAAGGCCATTTCCCTACCACAACTGGAATAAAAAAAAAAAACCTACAACAAAAACCTCTAATCCGAAAGGCTGGCTAGCATTCATCAGGCCTCATGAAATTCGGAACAACTCCAATGAAGATGGTTACATCCTATTTCCAAATGCCTTTATTTTTAAATCTGTTTTCGGTATCAGTGATGTTTATGTCCTCTATTTTTGTTAAACACTCACCTGTGATTTTTTGCAGCAAAGGTGACAATTCAGACTCCTCACAAAAGACTTGAGCCAACGCTTTCTTCACTTTTTCTTCACCTTCACCCAGGTCTTTGTCCACTGAGAACTCTCCACTGACAGAATAAATATATATCAGGAGGACCAGCAGCTCTTCGGGGCTGTAGTCATCATTAGTCCTCTGGTTCGAAGGCTTAATCATGGGAAGCAGCTGATTTAACACAACAGACATTGTCGACTCCCCAATGCTCTGAAATAAAAGGGGGGAATAGGCACATATGTCAGTCTTGTACAGACGTAATTTATGCACTACATCAGCCCAAAGATAGCTTGCAAACAAGTCTGTGATGTTCACTGACTAGATTGCTTTTTATTTGTATGTTTCTTGTCCTGGAGAGAATACTGCAGGCAATTTGGCATTAGAGCTGTTGTTTTGAAAGATCTAGTTCATAAAATGGCTGGTCAAGTTGCATACCCTTTTCTATTATCTTACATATTGCTTAAAGAAATAAGAGCCATGTGTTTTAAAAATAAAAGTGTACGTAGCTCAGATGCTAGAAATTTTAAATAAAAATATTTGTAACATGATTAAAAATTAAAACACGCCAGCACCTATATGCTGACATTCCTTCAGAGGAATTACTTTAGATTTTATAGCATATTCTTTTAATATTCTTTAAGGTGGCAAATATTACTCAGAATAGATTTTCTTTTTATAACAATGAAAAGTCATTTCTGCTAAATCTGGTCAAACTGGGTAATGACATTTCAGGATATCTTTGGGTTAGTCTGAAGATAATTCACATTTAAAGTTTAAAAAAAAATGTGCTTTTAGATATTCCACCAATTTCCTGAGTGATATTTAGCAGAGAATTTCAAAATTCCTTTCATGTGATAACAGCATTGCATTACTGAGTTAGCTGCATAACTTCCAATGCACTATGCACATTTCTAGTACAAATTCTGAGGTTTTTGGTGAATAGATAAATCCCCATTTTAAACAATGCGATTTAATTCTACTTATAATCTAAAATAACCCTGTAAAATAAAACTCAACTATTTGTATTTATATTAAAATCGGGGCCAAATGATCACGAGTTACAACTTTCACGTTATTCATTCAGAAGCATTCACTGAGCATCTACTATGTTCCAGGTACTACCTTGGGTCTGGGGAAGACAGCAGTGAACGAAACAAATCCTCTGCTATCAGAGAGCTTACATTCTAATGGGGGAAAACAGACAATTTAAACCTAAGGAAGTAAAATATATAGTATTTTAAATGGTGGTAAGAGTTACTGAGAAAAATAAAGCAGGAATGAAAGACGGAACTTAAGGGTGTGTTTATGTCAGTAAATATGCACTATTATATTTTTTAATTTTTTTAGACCATAGTCTTTTATTTATTTGTTTGTTTGTTTGTTTATTTATCTATTTTTGGCTGCATTGGGTCTTCGTTGCTGCGCGCGGGCTTTCTCTAGTTGTGGTGAGCGGGCGCTACTCTTCCTTGCGGTGCGCGGGCTTCTCATTGCAGTGGCGTCTCTTGTTGTGGAGCACAGGCTCTAGGTACATGGGCTTCAGTAATTGCAGCACATGGGCTCAGTAGTTGTGGCACGCTGGCTCTAGGGCACACAGGCTTCAGTAGTTGTGGCCGCGGGCTCAGTAGTTGTGGCTCGTGGGCTCTAGAACACAGGCTCAGTAGTCGTGGCGCAGGGGCTTTGTTGCTCTGCGGCATGTGGGATCTTCCCGGACCAGGGATTGAACCCATGTCCCCTGCATTGGCAGGCGGATTCTTAACCATTGCGTCACCAGGGAAGTCCCTGCACTATCTTAAAGAGGAAAAGCCGTGTTAAGGAGGGAGCATTGGAATAAAGAAAGACCTATAGAAACTCTCTCTCTCTGAATGAAGTTGATGGCACAGCTGATTGTGGTTCTGTATTGGAACAACTACCCAAAATGAGCTTTTCAAGTCACTTCCACACCTGGGAAAATCTGGACATATCATCTCAAGGTTAAGGTTCATAATTACATTTTTTGGTACATGGGAAACAGCTGTTACCATTTATTTCAACTAAAAATCCTGGATGTTCACAATGTACCAAACAAAACTAAAATGGAATGACTAAAGTACAAATGGAAAAGAGCAGAATGGAGATTTTAACTGTTATGTGGTGACAAGACATGGTTTATCAAGTATAAACATACCCACTTCTCAAAGGAAATGGCTGAAAGGTTTGAAGGCATCCTAGGACTGTCCTGTAGCCTCAGGAGTCTCTTGGGAGGAACTTTCAAGTGTTTGTTCTTTACTTTAAAAGCTGCCCGAAAGCAATTTAAAAGAAAGGAGCTGTGTGGCTGGCCTGTTAAAAGAAGGGCCATGGGGGCTGCAGCTTTCGCTTTTTATTTTTTACCCTATCACCAACTCCTTGGATGACATTAAACAGATTCTTCCATTGCTTTATATCCCATTTCTAAAAAGCAGGTGTATACATCAAGTATCTGTCCTATAGGAACCCTGTGATTCTCTCCCCAGAGCAAAAATATATATATTTTTTGCGATAGTTATAAAAAGTAAAACAGGGCAGGGTAATCATCATAGTCATTTAAGAAGATTCACTCACTAACATCTGGCCATCAGAGCATCATTTTCAAGTTGTTGATCTGTCACTGGAGAGCAAAATCCCTCCTCAGTGACACTGCAGCGGACTTCCATTGGCTAGCTCGTACCTCTGCACACCAATTTCTAAAATTACACTTTAATCTGCTTAACGCGTCCAAAGAAGTTAATAACTGAGCTGAATACAAAGCCAAGAATACTGATTAGTCTTAAAGAGGCATTAGATATTGTGGAAATAAAGAGATTCCGTTTCAAAAAGCCAGATTCCAATCTTGACTGTTCCACTAGCTAGTATTTTAACCTCTTTGGATCTCAGTAAACTTCTTAGGATGTCTTCATCTCTAAAATTACATGATCGGACTAGAGGGTGACTGAGTTCTTAAGTCATAGTTACGCTAAGATCTCCATTTTTACTTTCTTCTCCCCCTACCTTAAAAAATTACCATTGGTGGTAGAAGGCAGTGAATCTCGCTGTTCGCTACACAGCAAAATATAACAATAAATACTTGAAAAAGAAAAGCCTTCCTATAGAAAGAAATGTAGATGCGGAAATATCGTAGATATGTGTGTAACATGGGCTGATATACATTCACGTATTTCCTAACTCTGTCCACTGAGAAGATGTAGAAGTAGTTACATCCCAGTAGCAATGAGCACTCCAGTGATCAGATCTTAAGTTTCTAATATCATTCTCCAATAATAGGAACCAGAGATCCTTGGAGAAATGGCTGATTCTAGGGATGGGGCGGGGAAAATACAAGAAGAGCCTGGAATATCTTGTAGTGCCAGAAAGTAAGGAAGTCCTTAGAAAACAAACAAATGGGGGCATGTCAAAACGACACAAGAGACAACTGGGAGATCTCCCAGTGGTCAAAGCTGGAATGATTTGCACAAGAGAATAAGTAAAGTAGTAGTAGTAATGGATTATAACCCAAAGTATAAAATAAATATGCATCACTCCACACTGGTAATGAATAAGTGGTTGCATTAATTAATGTAGGAGAAGAGAAATATTCCTTAACAGAAGAATTCCAAATAACTTACCTACATAAGATACTTCTCCTCCTGGAGACAGAACTTAATCGCCCCACATCTTAAGTGTGAGCTGAACATGGTGACTTGCTTTTAAAAAACTGTGTATGGAAAGGGGAGGGAGGAGTGACTTTACCTTAGTCAGAGGATCAAGGTTAACATCACCAGTGATAAGTCACATTGATATCACCTGTCCCAAATATGATGTGATGAGAATGGCACTTTACTTTTGCAGTATTCTTCTCCCAAGCCCATAACCCCATGACAAAAACATCAGATAAATCCTAATTGAGGGACATTCTACAAAATGCCTGACCAGCACTCCCTCAAAACGGTCAAGGTCATGAAAAATAAGGAAAAAATGAAAAACTATCACACACCAGATGAGACTAAGGAAACATAATGACTAAATGTAATGTGATATCCTGGATGGGATCCTGGAACAGACAAAGGACATTAGAGAAAAACTAGTGAAATCAGACTGAAGTCTGGGGTTTATAATTAATAATAATGTACCATGTTGGTTTCTTAGTTTTGACAAATGATTGAGGATACACAATAGTGTAAGATTTTAACAGTAGGGTGAGGGGTATACAGAAATTCTCTGTATTATCTTGGCAAGTTTTCTATAAATCTAAAGCTATTCTAAAATAAAACATTTATTGGAAAGGGAAGAAGAAGGGGAGGGGAGGAAGGGAAGACAGTAAGAGACAAAGCCACGTACATTTTGATCTCTTTTCTGTCAGACTGAAAATTCCAAGACAAATGATTTCAGCTCAGTATGAGGAAGAACTCCTACAACCAGAGCCAAGGTAAGAGACTGACTCAGGAAGCAATGAACTTCCCATCAAAGCAAAGGGAAGCAGGGTGATCTGGAAATGATGAAGCAGAGAGAATCCCATGACACCTTGGCTTAGAAGGTGAACTAGACCTTCCTAGTGCTATCCATAAAAGCATGACTCCAGACTGGATGCATACCCATCTTCTGATCTTCTCTGCTCTTAGAATGAAACCTCAACAAGAAGGAAAGAAAACATCCTGGATGAAACTTCCTAGACTGAAACTTTTTTAAAGGTAAAAGAAAGAATCTGAGGTGGATTAAAAATGAGGAGATGGGAGTAAGATTTTATGCCTGGGTTTGAATTCTGGCTGTACCACTTATTAGCTGTATGACCTTGGGTAAGTCAGTTTTCTCATCTATATAAAATGGAAAGAGTATCACAAAGGCCTGAATATCAAGCAGTCCCAAGCCACAGGCATTTTCTTTCTTTCTTTTTTTTTTTTTGTGGTACGCGGGCCTCGCACTGTTGTGGCCTCTCCCGTTGCGGAGCACAGGCTCCGGATGCGCAAGCTCAGCGGCCATGGCTCACCAGCCCAGCCGCTCCGCGGCATGTGGGTTCTTCCCAGACCGGGGCATGAACCCGTGTCCCCTGCATCGGCAGGCGGACTCTCAACCACTGCGCCACCAGGGAAGCCCGCCACAGGCATTTTCATAATACTGGGACGATTGCTTAAACTACTTTGTGGTTTAAAATAGAGTAACCCCACAATGGGACAGTCTTTGTAAGGACTCAAACATAAGGGGAGGCCCTCTTTTCTGAGGGT